GTATTTGCCAATTATTACTTTAAGGCAATCAGACACTAATTATTTTACAACTACATTTGGGCACACACGAACAACCCTCAAATACAATAAAGATCTTTCCAGGAGAGTTTTTATCATTGTATTACATCAATAAGCAATTTGGTTACCAGCAGTATGCTTCCTTGGGGTAGTCCGAATAGAGTATTCAAAGTCAGGTACTGCTCTGCTACTCAAGTGAAGGTGGTAATTTCTTGCTTCATCCAGTAAATCTCTACATTTTAGATTTTGCTTGACAATCTGTTCTTTTGCCACAACACCCATAAGAAAATCAACCGGCAACAATGGCAGACGAACCTAAGATCATGAACAGTTGCAATATAAAATTTAAGTGAAAATAAGATGATTCATTCTCCACTTTCACTGCAGCATGTTCTCTTTTTAAAACTTACGTTGCTACTTTATGAAATCTAACATGTTCATGAAATTCAATGCGCCAAATTCTAAAGCAATTTCCAGTACTGGTCTACTTGAATGAAATCAGACTATACGTTAAATTACATCCACCCACTTTAAATATAGGTTTAAATAGGCTTTATAATTCAATTGTCTTCATTCAAATTACTTACTTCCAAAAATGGTACTGACATAATCACAAGGTCCTTCTGTTGATAAAGACATAATCAAAACAAAACTGCTGTGCTTTGTTCTTTTGCCTTTTTAAGCTAAGATTAAACATACGGAAATGTGATTTCTTATTTAAAAATGTAAACATTCATATCTGAAACAAGTGCTGTTTTCTTCAAATCAGTAATCTTGGAAGGGAAGACACTAACTCAGGGACTCATCCCCTCTTTCAGTAGAGGCATTCATCATTCCTCTATTAAAGATGCACTGATTTTCCAGTGGATTAAAGGGGATGATGAAACCAGGTAATGCTATTTTGAATAAAAAGCGCGCACACACACACACACACACACACACACACACACACACACACACGGGGTTGAGTCCAGTCACTCCCCAACTGCAAGACTTTGTTGCAGTAGTCCCTCTACCTATTGCCATGGTCCCCCTTGAATAAAGTCTGCCTTATATGTCTTAAAAAGTAACATATATACACAAATAAGATATAGCTGCAAGAAAATAAAACTTTCCATTTGCTTTTGCTGACAAATTTACTTTCAAAATAATTCTAAGAGAGAAGATCTAAATGTGTACTGAACTTTGACACTCATATGAATGCAAAAATATTGTGAGATGCACTTGAAAAATATGTTTTATCATAATCACACTTTGAATAGGTTTACTTCATCTGCCTATAAATATCTAAAATGAGAACACTGGTCATTTTAAGCACTTTCATTCTTCTATTTATTAAAGTTTCTTGTAATGCTACTGAGAAACTTTATGTTATTAAAAATTATGAGAATTATCATTGAGTGCTTTTATCAAGCACAAAGTTTTAAAGCATTTAATTTAGAAAAATAAGTAATAATTCCTCTTTTAAGTAACAAAACATCATTTTACTTCTCAGGAATAAATGGAGAAAGGAAAAAAGGGAGGAAGGAAAGGAGGGAAGAGAGAGAAAGGAAAAGGGAGGAAGACAAAAGAAAAGAAATATCACAAGGGCCTATAATCTTTTCATCCCAGTAACACCTATTAACAGTAAAAAATAATAACAGTAACAATAATCAGATACATTTCTGAGGTTTAAAAAAAAGTCAAAGTATGGTGAGAGAAGAAAATAGAAAGTGATGTCCTATGGCTCTTTGCATAATAAATCTACACACATTAGGACTAACTATACTTTTATTAGCAAAATAATTCATTAAAATTTAGAAACTTCATTATAAAACACTATAAATTATATTTAGAGCTGTTTCCTCAAACCATTTTCTATTAGCATACATAAAATACTCATCATTAGTATCCCAAAGGAATATTTTCAGGTTAAAAAGCAGAGAATGGTATTGCTAATTCAAATGTGACAAATTTAGATTCATCCTGAAACAGAACAGCAAGTTAATAGGAAAGTTAGAGAGCTAAAAGCCATTTTTATCATTGTATTTCATCAATAATTTCTTTTTTTTTTTTTTTTTTTTTGAGACGGAGTTTCGCTCTTGTTGCCCAGGCTGGAGTGCAATGGCGCGATCTCAGCTCATCGCAACCTCCGCCTCCTGGGTTCAGGCAATTCTCCTGCCTCAGCCTCCTGAGTAGCTGGGATTACAGGCACGCGCCACCATGCCCAGCTAATTTTTTGTAGTTTTAGTAGAGACGGGGTTTCACCGTGTTGACCAGGATGGTCTCGATCTCTTGACCTCGTGATCCACCCGCCTCGGCCTCCCAAAGTGCTGGGATTACAGGCGTGAGCCACCGCGCCCGGCTAATAATTTCTATATTCCTTCAAATAATCTACACTTTTCAAAATAAATGAAGCCTCTTGATTTGCTTCTGTATTTCATTTCTATGTGACATCTTATTTCAGCCCCTACCTGTGCAAGTGTTTCATCCAACCATTTGGAATGATGCTGAGGATTGGCAAGAAGCCACTTGATGGCAGCATTATAGACCTGCTTTTCATTTTCAATATTTAGATCACTGGAAGACAAAAGCTTATGGAGGTGCTGGGGTGATACACTTACAAAGTCTTCACACTCCACTACTTCAGTAAAATGCTCACAGGCATACTGATCTGCCATGTCCATTAAGTCTATTCGATTGTGACTTTCTGCAAAGGCTCTTACTGCCAGGCAATTGGAGGGATGAAAATGTAACTTCATGTATTCACAACAAGCTCTAGCCACCAGTTCAACCTGCAGAATACAGGCTGCATATAAGAGAGGTTGGACGTTGTCAACAGTCAAAGTGAGCCGTGAAGAATAGACAAACTTTACCAAGTCTTCTATTGCGTCACCATCAAAATCTCTAATCTCAATCAGCGTTTGCTTGGCTTCGGCCATTTCAGAAAGAAACATGGCTCTAAAGTAGGGAATAACACAAGCCAATACCAGCTTGTGACAAGAGATTAGCTTTGAACCAACCTGTTCAAAAGAAACCAAGAAAGACTCAGTTTAATATCAAAATCAGCTTCAGGTCATCATTGTGTTTGGAGCAGGAACAAAATTTCTAGACAAATTTAGAGTGTTTTTATAAGGCAATCCTTTGGTCATTTACTTTCAATCTAGGCCAATTTCTTAAAGTCAGGCAATTTTCATCTTCCAAATTAACCAAATATCTTTCATATATATACTACATATGTATATATGTGTACATATATACAATATATGTATAAATGTATATGAATATATGTATAAATGTATACAAAATGTATATGTATATACATATTAAATATGTATGTGTATAAAATATATGCATACATATATACATATATGTATAAATATATACATATAAAAATATATGTATATACATGTGTATATACCTATACAAAAAATACATATCTGTATACACATATATACGTGTGTGTGTGTGTGTGTGTGTGTGTGTGTGTGTGTGTGTGTGTGTGTATTTTTTTAGACAAGGTCTTGCTCTTGTCACCCAGGCTGGTGTGCAGTGGCGTGATCTCAGCTCACTGCAACCTCTGTCTCCCGGATTTAAGTGATTCTCCTGCCTTAGCCTATCAAGTAGCTGGGATTACAGGCATGCACCACCAAACCTAGCTAATATTTGTGGGTTTTGTTTTCTCAGTAGAGACAGGGTTTCACCATGTTGGCCAGGCTGGTCTCGAACTCCTGGCCTCAACTGATCCGCCTGCCTTGGCCTCCCAAAGTGCTGAGATTACCAGAGTGAGCCACTGCACTTGGCCTCTTTTATATACATATCTATAACATATATACAACAAATCATGATTTTTCTATATGATATTTCAGGGACATTTTGTAAATTAGTAATAGCAAACATCAGTCAGCACTCCTTACGTGTCAACCACTATTGTAAGAGCTTTTATTTTGGAGATAGGGTCTCATCATGTTGCCCAGGTTGGAGTGCAGTGGCATGATCATGGCTCATTGCAGCCTCAACCTGCTGGGCTCAAGCAATCCTCCAACTCAGCCTCCCATGCAGCTGGGACTACAGGCACGTGCCACCACACCCAGCTAATTTTTGCATCTTTCAGTAGGGACAGGGTTCCGCCATGCTGCCCAGGCTGGTCTCAAACTCCTGATCTCAAGTGATTCACCTACTTTGGCCACCCAAGGTCCTAGGATTACAGGCATGAACCACAGAGCCTGGCCTTCTAAGTGCTTTTCATATACTAACTTAACTGTCCCAACACCCCTATGAGTAAGTACTATTATTTTCCACAATTTATCAATCAGAAAACTGAAGCACAGAGTAAATATATAGTAGTATTTACTATGAGGTCAACTGAGGTTTTTTTTTTTTCATTTTCTATTCACATTATCTTGAAATGATATAGCTCATATACAAGCAATAAAAAAACTGCAATCTCATCATCTTAATTATTGAAAAATCAGATAGCTTCCAACAGTGTGTCATTACAAACAGCACAGTAGTGAACTTCTTTGTAACTCTTTACTCACATTTTCTATTATTCTGACAGATAAATTCTTGTAAGTAGAAATGCTGCTTCAAAGGATACAATGTGAATATATACTGTCAAACTGTCCATTTCTGAGCTTCTTAACAGTATTGGCACCGTATCTTGAGTGTTAAGAAACTTTTTTTTTTTTTTTTTTGTATAGACAGTCTATGTCGCCCAGGCTGGTCTCAAACTCCTGAGCTCATGCAATCCTCCCGCCTAGCCTCCAAAGTGCTTAGATTATGGGCGTGAGCCACTGTGCCTGGCCACAGTTGACAATTTGATGAATAAAAATATCTCATTATTTATCTTTTCTTTTGCTCATAAGATCGAATCATTCACAAATTTTGGGCTACTTGTATTTCTTCTATGAACTACATATTTTTTCTTATTCATTTGTAAGTATTCCTCATACAATCAAAGTGTTAGGCATTTGTCATATATATTTCAAACTTCTCTTTCACAGTTTGCTTTCAATTTTTATTCTCTCCCTATGGATTTTCACATAATTAAATCAAGTCTTCTTATTATTTAAGGTACCCTGCTATAAATGGGAATCATTCTAATATTCTACATTTACTTCACATATTTTTTCTACTACTTTTATGGTTTTATGTTTTACACAAGTTTTTATTTACATCTGGAAGTTTTTGGTACTGAGTGGGCAGATATCTTCTTTTTAATACAGTATTAATCCCATTTTCCCAGCAGCTTATAATAATCAAATACAAGTAACATTATAGTACCATTTTAGTAATTTTCCTGTTTTCATGTAGTGTTTTGATTATATAATAAACTTGTAGTTGTGTCTCATTATTTGAGAACTAATTTTAAAATGAGAATTTCTGGAGTGTTCAAATGTATAGTTTCGCTTATAAAAGTCCCTTGCTCAGTCTTTTTTCACTAATGTAGAGGAAGAACCAGTATCATTTATTTCAGCAAGTACACGATAATCATTTCTGTCTGTTATGCTGCATTAAATTTTTTCACAGAACTCACTAGGCAGGATTTAGATTCTAATGAGACTAAAGTTGTAAACTACAACATAAAGCTTGGCATGTTTTCAAATTCACATTAGCTCTAAAATGGGATCTGAAACCTGATACTAAATAATTTTTAAATAGCCTAAACAGACTCTTAAAAAAAATTATTTCCACATACCACCACTGGGATTCAGTTTCTATGCAAATATTTGCAAGTCTCACATGACTTAAACCTGATCCATTAAATAACTTGCCAACACTCTCTTACATAATAGTATCATAAAATAGGGTTCCACAATTTCTAGATAATCATTATTTTAACACTTGCCATCCAAGCTGTACAAATCAATGGACAGGAAGTTAATTTCACGATGTTCTTTATAAGATTCTGTCCCTTTACAATTCTATTTGAATCTTGATTCAAATAAACTAAAAGGTGGCTATTTAACATATATACCCCTATGTACCCTTTCAGAATAAATATCCATTTTTACTTGGAAAAGATCTTTGAGTCACATGTATAAACAGGAACAGCTAAAAGTTTAGCTTTTTAATGCACTGATTTTCCTTTGATGTTATATGGTTTCATCACATTCCTGAAAGTTTATTTGTACAATTTCTTTCCCTGGCACATAAAAATAATTACCAATTACAAAAATTATTTCATCAGAAATTTGAAAATGAAAGTAATCAAAATCTAAAGACCTGATTTTTAAAATTGGATAAAAATCTGCAAGCTACATAATATTAAACATTACTATACAATTTAGAATTATATAAATACTATATGTCCCTGATACTAGTTAATTTTCTAATTTATAGTCTTTGTTAGATCAGTGAACATGTGACTAATTCAAGATACTATTAAAAAAGAAAAACTTCAGACAATTAAATTTAACAGAGTTTAACTGAGCAAAGAAGGATTCAAGAATTGGGCAGTCCTGGAACCAGAATAGGTTTAAAGAGACTCTGGTGCTGCTGCACAATCAAAAATTATTTATGGACAGAAAAAGGAAGGAGACACACAGAAAATGGAAGTGAGGTACAGCAATAGATGGATCAGTTACAGCTCAGAGTCTGCCTTACTTGAATACAGGTTGAACAACTGGTTGCCTTTCATAGGGTGAAACTCAGTGATTGGCACAAGAGTAGGCTAAAGTCTATTTACACATCCAGTTAGGTTACAGTTTACTGTGTACAGAGAAACCTTTAGGCCAAAAATTATTTATGGGCAGAAAAAAGAAGGTGACACACAGAAAATGCAAGTGAGGTATAGAAACAGATGGATCAGTTACAGCTCAGAGTCTGCCTTACATGAACACAGGTTGAACAAATGGTTGCCTTTAATAGGATGATACTCAGTGACTGGCACAAGAGTAGGCTAAAGTCTGTTTACACATCCAGTTAGGTTACAGTTTACTGTGTACAGAGAAACCTTTAGGCCAAGCTTAAACTATGTAAGGTGGGAGCTTTAGGCTAAACTTAATTTAACAATACTCAGGGAAAAATCATGTCACACTTCAGTATTAAAATATACAGAATATTAACATTCATTCAATGATTCCTTAGGCATTTGTTTAAAAAGCTTAAATACCAACTATTAATCAAAACTTTGAGTAATTTTCCCTAGACTAGCCAATATAAATGAAAATACAATGAAACAAAGGCTTTTGGATTAGTAAAGCATTTGACTAGAAACATATAAAGCATTCCTGACTCCACTAGTGTGGAGTTCATCATGGCTCTTGAGCCACTTGCTTGAGCCCGCTCCCACTCTGTGGAGTATACTTTCATTTCAATAAATCTTTGCTTTTGTTGCTATTTAAAAAAAAAAAAAAAAAAGAATTCATCATGGTTAATATTTTGTAAACTATCTCCTCTTCATTTAAAAAAAAATTTAGTAGAGGGCTGGGCATGGTGGCTTACACCTGTAATCCCAGCACTTTTGGAGGCCGAGGTGAGCAGATCACCTGAGGTCAGGAGTTCAGGACCAGCCTGACCAACATGGAGAAATCCCATCTCTACCAAAAATACAAAAAACTAGCTGGGCGTGGTGGCACATGCCTGTAACCCCAGCTACTCGGGAGGCTGAGGTGGGAGAATCGCTTGAACCTGGGAGGCAGAGGTTGCGATGAGCCGAAATCGTGCCATTGCACTCCAGCCTGGACAACAAGAGCAAAATTCCATCTTAAATAAATAAATGAATAAATAAATTTAGTAGAAAAAGTAAAATTTTATCTTAATATTATTAAGCATTAATGAATACAACAAAATAAATATTATTAAGCACTATATATGCAGGAAAATTTTCCATAAATAGTTGAAAAATGCTCTTTTACTCTAATACACTTTAACACACTTTATAGCAACTTCTGCAAGCATCTTCTTTAATATTTTTTACTCTACATGTACATTATTCATTACCATTTGACATTTACATGCCTTTTTCATCACTGTAAACATTATTGTAGTGGATATGCATTTGCATAAATACTTTCTATTTTTGGATTATTTACTTAAGAGAGGTTCTCAGCACTGGACTTCATGGGTAAGAATAATCTTGATATTTGAAAATTAAAAATAGCCTAATGGCTGGGTGTAGTGGCTCATGCCTATAATCCCAGCACTTTGGGAGGCCAAGGAGGGCAGATCACCTGAGGTCAGGAGTTCAAGACCAGCCTGGTCAACATGGTGAAACCCCATCTCTACAAAAATACAAAAATTAACCAGGCATCATGGCGGCTGCTGGTAATAATTCCAGCTACTTGGGAGGCTGAGGTGGAAGAATCGTTTGAAACTGGGAGGCGGAGGTTGCAGTGAGCTGAGATTGTGCCATTGTACTCCAGCCTAAGTGACAGAGCGAGAGTCTATCTAAAAAAAACAAACAAAAAAGCCTACTGTCTTAGTTTGTTCAGGCTGCTATAACAAAATATCACAAACTGAGTGGCTTATAAACAATACAATTTATTTCTCATAGTTCTTGAGACTGGAAAGTTCAAGATCAAGGCACTGGCAAATCCATGTCTGGTAAGGACTTGCTCTAAGTTCACTGATGGCAACTTTTCTTTGTGTCCTCAGATGGTGGAAAGTGCAGGGCAGCTATCTGTGCCCTTTTTTTTTTTTTTTTTAAGGTCTAAATACAATTTGAATGAGGTACAGATACATGTCCAACTTGTGATCATGAGTTATAACAAATCATATTTAGTTATAATTATGAAAATAGTGAAATCACAATGTAAAGGAAAACTTTTATAAGTAACAACTTCTTCACCTTTAAAGACAGCTTAGGTTTCGATATATCTCAAGATCTGCTTTGTATTTAAAATGAATAGTGAGGCCAGGCACGGTGGCTTATGCCTGTAATCCCAGCACTTTGGGAGGCCAAGGTGGACGGATCACCTGAGGTTGTGAGTTCAAGACAAGCCTGACCAACAGGCAGAAACCCCGTCTCTACTAAAAATACAAAATTAGCCAGGCGTGGTGATGCATGCCCGTAATTCAAGCTACTTGAGAGACTGAGGCAGGAGAATCACTTGAACCTGGGAAGTGGAGGTTGCAGTGGGCCGAGAGCGTGCCACTGCTCTCCAGCCTGGGTAACAAGAGTGAAAGTCCATCTCAGAAAAAAAAAGGAATAGTAAAGAGTGTATATACAATATAAAAATAACATTGTACTTCTTAAAAGTTATATGTAAAGGGAAACATTTTTTAAATTACTAAAGGCCAGGCATCGTGGCTCATGCCTGTAATCCCAGCAGTTTGGAGACTGAGGCAGCAGAGAGATCGCTTGAGTCCAGGAGTTCAAGACCAGCCTTGGCCACATGGCCAAACGCCCCTCTACAAAAAAATGCAAAAATTAACTGCATGTGGTGGCATGCACCTATAGTCTCAGCTATTCAGGGGATGGGGTGGGGTTTGGGTCCAGGAAGTGGAGGCTACAGTGATCCATGATCACATCATTGTACTCCAGAGCAAGACCTTGTCTCAAAATGATAAAATAAAATAAGCCTATAATCTGTCCTTTCCTCTTATACAGGAAAAAAAAATTACTATTCCTTCATTCTTACACTTTTAATTTTATATTTTTCTTTTATTGTAAATATATATATTTTTTTGCTTTTTTCAACTTTTATTTTAGAATTAGGGGTACATGTATAGGGCTGTTACATGGATATACTGTGTCATGCTGAGGTTTGGAGTATGAATGAATCTATAACCCAGGTAGTGAGTTTAATACACAACATAAAATAAACAGTTTATTTCAATTCATACCCCCGCCGCCTTCCCTCCCTCCCTCATCTTGTATACCCCACTATTTTTCCTATTTTCATGACCATGTTTACTCAATGTTTAGTTCCCACTTGTAAGTGAGAAAATGTGGTATTTGGTTTTCTGTTTCATTAGTTCACTTAGGATAATGGTTTCCAGCTGCATGCATGTTGCTGCAAAGGATGTGATTTCTTTTTTATGGCTGTATTATTCTGTAGTGTATATATAACACATTTTCCTTATCCAGTCCACCACTGATGGGCACCTTGGCTGATTCCACGTCTTTGTTATTTGTGAACAGCACTGCAATGGACATACTATGTGTCTTTTTGATAGAATGATTTATTTTCCTCCGGGTATATACCAACTAGGAGGATTGCTAGGTTGAATGGTAATTCAGCTCTCAGTTCTTTGAGAAGTATCCAAACTGCTCTCCTCAGTGGCTGAACTAATTTACATTCCCACCAACAGTGTGTAAGTGTTCCCTTCTCTCCACAGCCTTGCCAACATCTGTTATTTTTTGACTTATTAATAAAAGTCATTCTGACTGATATGAGATGGTATCTCTTTGTGGCTCTGGTTTGCATTCCTCTAATGACTAGTGATGTTCAGTATTTTTTCATATATTTGTTGGCCACCTGTAGGTCTTCTTTTGAGAAGTGTCTGTTCATATCCTTTGCCCACTTTTTACTGTATCTTTTCGTTTAGATATGTTTAGATAAACAAACACTATTGTGTGACAACTGTCTACAATTTTCAGTATGGTAATAGGCTATGGAGATTTGTATTCCATGAACGACGGGCTACAACATGTAGCCGAGGTTATACTACACAAGTAGGTTGCAATAAGCAGCTCTCATATAGTCATGTGTTGCTGAAGGATCGGGATATGTTCTGAGAAATGTCTTAGGTGATTTTATCACTGTGTAAATGTCACAGAATGTACTCACACAAATCTAGATATTTGCTTAGATATATCTAAGGCAAAAACCTAGATATGGCTGCTCCCAGGCTACGAACCTGCATGGTGTGTTACTGTACTGCACACTGTGGGCAACTGCAACACAATGGTAACTATCTGTGTATCTAAACAAATAAACATAGGAAAGGTACAGTAAAAATACGGTGTACAAGATTTTTTCTAATTGTACGCTTGTATAAGGCATTTGCCATGAATGGGATTGCAGGGCTGGAGGTTGCTCTGGGTAAATTACTGAGTGGTGAGTAAATGGGAAAGCCTACGACTTTATTGTACACTACTGTAGACTTTATAAACACTGTACACTTAGGCTACCCTAAATTTAAAAAAAAAAATTTATAATTAACCTTAGCTTACTTGACGTTTTCCATAAACTTATAAATTTTTAAAAAACTTTTTGACTCTTTTGTAATAACAGCCTAAAACACACACATTGCACAGCTCTACAAAAATGTTTTTATATGCTTATTCCAAAAGCCTTTTTCTATTAAAATTTTCTCTTATTTTTAAAACTTTTTGTTAAAAACTAAGACACAAACTCAGACATTAGCCTGCATCTATACCAAGTCAGGATCATACATATCACTGTCTACTGCCTCCAGATCTTGTCCCACTGAAAGGTCTTCGGGGGTAATAATACACATGAAGCTGTCATATCCTGTAATAACAATGCCTTCCTCTTGAATACCTTCTGAAGGACCTGCGTAAGGCTGTTTTATAATGTTTTTTTCTTTTCTTGGTTTTGTTAAGAATCAATTTTCTGCAATTTTTTTCTTTTTTAATCTTTTTTTCTTTAGGAGTACAGGCTAATAAAAACAATAAAAAGTATAGTAAATACATAAACGTGTAACATAATCATTTATTAGCATGAATAAGTATTAGGTACTGTACATAACTATGTGCTATACCTTTTATACAACTGGCAATGTGGTAAGTTTGTTTACACCAGCATCACCACAGGCATGTGAGTAATGCATTGTACTAGAACATTATGATAGCTACAACATCACTAAGTGATAGGAATTTTTCAGCTCCATTATAATCTTATGGGACCACCATTGTATATGGAGTCCATCGTTGACCAAAATGTCCTTATGTGGCACATGACTATACCCCCGAGAAACATGAAAAAGTTAAAATACTGACTTACTAGCTGAGTGAAGGAAAGGATCTTCCTTAAACACAGAGTCTTAAAATGTCTTAATATAGAATGCTTAACTGTTAAATATAGATCACTTTCTCCATTATTATTTTTCTCTTCTATTAGATTATGTCTGTGCTATCTTCTAAATGCCCTCCAAAATAATGTATTGAAACTTAATCCCCACTGTGCTAATATTAAGAGGGGGAGCCTTTGGGAAATGATGAAATCAAAGGGCTCTGTGCTCATGAATGGATTAGTGCCTTAAGAGAGAACTGGAGGTAACTAGCTTAAGCCCATTTTGCCTATCTGCCTTCCATGTGAGAACATAATGTTTATCCCCTCTGAAGGATGCAGCAACAAGGTACCATCTTGAAAGCAGAAAGGGCAGCCCTCACCAGACACCAAGCTTGCTGGCACCTTGATTTTAGACTTCCCAACATTCAGAACTATGAGAAATAATTTTCTATCATGAGCAC